TTTCAAACAAATGCAACAAGTTTGTTTTTTAAAGCGCTCTATAAATAAATCTGACCATGACGGTGTTAATATTTGCCATAACAGGAACGTTTTATAAAAAAAAGAATAACATCCTGAAAACATTTTCAGAATGTTGCTTGGAGAATGTTCTTCATTTGTTATCATGTAACATTAAAGGAACATTTTATAAAACACTTTCTGTCATCTCAGGCCTCAATAACATCCTGAAAACATTTTCAGAATGTTGCTTTGAAAATGTTCTTTATTTGTTATCATGTAACATTGAGGGAATGTTTTATAAAGAACATCTTTAATGTGTTACCCAACAACGTCCAAAACACATCCTTAGAATGTTGCAGGCAAAACGTTATGTCTTAGTTAACCTTAAACCTTATAGGAACATTATTTGAAAAAATAAACATCCTAAAAAGGTTCTTTGAACATCAGATGAAAACGTTTCTTTAAAACCTTATTAGAACCAATAGGTAACGTTAGCCAAAGGTGTGAGAACGTTCCCCCCTAGCTGGGTACTCACCAATACGTTTGATTATTTGTTCCCAAAAACCATCCTCCTTTCTTTCTGAAGAGTTCAGTTACTGTGTTGTTCAGATTACCTGAGTGTTTCAGTTCCAATAATAAGTCCTGTTCTAACGCCATGGAGGCTGATGCTGGAAGTCGAGTCAGTTCAGTCGTATTTCTGTCAAAACACATTGTGGAATATAGGAATGAACAGAGTCCTGCTTCTGACACTGCTCACTTCTCTTTATACATGAACCTTCCTAAGAACAATTCCACCTCAGCCACATCCATCATGGTGCACTTTGTAATGGAGGATATGTCCTCTTGTTGGGGGAAATTTAGAAGAATTTTGGTGAGAGATGTTTGGCCGTAATATATGCAAGATCCTGGATGACAAGACGCTTTTTTTAAAAAAATATATAGGTAATGCCTTTTAGACTATAAAGTGATTTTTGAAAAGTGAGGTTTCGAAATATAAAGCTTTTTTAATTGTAAAGCAGCTCTAAACATTCTGAATGTGTCTCAGTTCATTTTGGTTTGCAGTAAATGCCATCAGAGGGTGAACATGGGCTTAACCCTTCTCTTGCGTTAGGTCATACCCCCCTTCCCATACTATTTTCGGTCAAAATTGACCGGTGTGTTTTTGCACGGTGATATCTCTGGAACCCCTTATCATGTCACTTGTTATACGCTTTAGTTGAGAGTTTTTCCTCAATAACCCTCTAATTAGTGCTTATTTATTGCAAGTAAGGAAGTTGTTGTACATGAGTTTTGATATGCTCTGCTCAATATGGGCCTAATAAGGCAGTAGTACCACAAGAATAGTAATTCTCTCATAATAACACTTAACAAATATGATCTATTCTTAGGTAACAAGACATGAAACTATAAGTGTTAATTGTGTCTAAATAACTCAAAATTAGGTATTTATATCTAAGAATATGTTTTGGGGTATTGACAGTTCAGCTACCAATAGCAAGGGGATATTGACCTGTATGTTTCATAGTTGCACATTTATATTTTTGTGAAATGTGTACTGAAGGTTAGACAGGAAACCAGATGCAGGAAGTAGGAGAAAGTGAACTGAATAGCATGGCAGTAGACATCCATGAGTAGACTGCTACTAATTTCCCCTATGCAACCTGAAGAGTAAAAGGGTCAAGTCCGTCAGAAAGCAATGACTGTAAGTGTAACTGTAAGCCTTACACTTACACTGTAAGGATTAGTAACATGTATTGTGTTTATGTGAAGACATTTGGAGATGTTTAAACACAATGAGAAAATGCGTTAGCATTCGCGCTAGCATTTGCGTTAGCATTCACGCTAGCGTTAGCATACATGGTAGCGTTAGCATACATGCTAGCATTAGCCATACTAGCCTGTATACATGCTTCAACACAGTCTCACGGCATTTCGTGTTATAGTCACAAAATTAATCTATTGTTTCGTGTTCACCAACACGATTTCGCCATTTTTTTCGTGTCACACAGAACGATTTTAAAAGCAATGTAAATAATAACAAATTAGAAGGAAAAACAGATTTCAGTATTCTGACACAGAACGATTTTAGAAGCAATGTATTTATATTGGTAGTATGTTTCGTGCCTGCATCAAATAATAACAAATTAGAAGGACAAAAAGATGACAAAAAATACAGATTTCAGTATTCTGAGGCTCTGAGCCCCATTTCTTTTCCTCACGGACGGCAAAAAAACTCCGACATTATACAATTTAAAATAAAATGGATAGGGTTAGGCTTAGGGTAAGATATTGAGTAAGAAAATGTTTTTATGAACCACACAGCTTCTGGTCTTCCAACCCGACCGGACAAAAAGACGTGGTGCAGGCACGAAACATACTACCAATAGAAATACATTGCTTTTAAAATCGTTGTGTGACACGAAAAAAATGCGAAAATCGTGTTGGTGAACACGAATCAATAGATTAAATTAATTTCGTGACTATAACACGAAATGCCGTGAGACTGGGTTGGCTTATTGCACAGCTAGCATTAGGTATATTTACCTTGTTTACACTTAGCGGTCCTATGTTTTAATCTGTGTATGTTACACTTGCATGTATGAGATCATTAAGTGCCTTGTAACTTATTTTTTTATAGTTTCACTCCGTTTGAATGTCAGTGGACTGCAAATAAGTCAATAAAGGAGCATGGCTGCTTATTCCCTGGCTCTCAAAAGAGTTTGGCTGGCTGTTTAATCTATGTTCACACTGAGACAGTACAATACATAAAGAGAACAGTACACCTATTGTGTAAGTACATACAAGCAGGTCACACAGTATGATCACAAATACATGCATATGGCTGCATATGTGTTCTCAGCCTTCAAGAAACTTGACATGTTTTGGTACATGTATGTGTCTGAACCTCTCTTTAGTGGTTCATTAATAAAACAGATATTTCAATGTGTGCCTACTTTGTTCATGTACTGTTGAGGTTAATTTCAGTAGTTGTGTGCTATAATGTATTTACAAAGTGTAAAGAGGAGGCAACTTTAGAATAGAGAACCTGTTCAGGTCAATTAGAGTCAAACTACTAACTTATTGGTTATGAACAAGACTTCACTTTAAAATAGGGAACATATTCTTAGATATAAATACCACATTTTGAGTTATTTAGACACAATTAACACTTATAGTTTCATGTATTGTTACATAAGAATAGATCATATTGGTTAAGTGTAATTATGGGAGAATTACTATTCTTGTGGTACTACTTCCTTATTAGGCCCATATTGAGCAGAGCATATTAAGACCAAAACTCATGTACAACAACTTCCTTACTTGCAATAAATAAGAACTAATTAGAGGGTTATTGAGGAAATACTCTGAACTAATGGCTTATTACTTGTAGAATATGGTCATGTAGAATAAGGCATTAATAAGTGTTTTATAATGACTAATAAAGAGCCAATATACTGCTAATATGCATGTTAATTAACAACTAGTTGATGGTTAATTTGTGTACCTTAATATAAAGTGTTACCTTGGATTTTATTAACATGTATATGAAACGGAACACGTTTGTGGAACCGGAAATACAAGTGTGAATCCTTTTGCGGATCATGAAATACATGTGTGTATTATGAGACTTTTCTGAGCCCATAGTAGAACTGGCTTCGTAGTACAGGCCACTGATCGATTAGGCTAAGCTAACCTGTAGCTGCTCCCTCCACACTCACAACAACTTCATACAGACATAAATAAAGCAGCTGTATTCGCCATACAGGAAACACACATTTAAAACGGGTTTGCCTGCCGTTCTTTTGTACACAAGTATTCATTAAAGGTGGGGTAGGTAAGTTTGAGAAACCGGCTCGAGATACCCTTTTTGTTATATTCCATGGAATGCTCTTAACATCCCGATAGCAATGAATATCTTAAGTGCTTTGACAAAAAATCCATAAAAAAATTTCATCTGTGGAAGCCGTAGTACTGTAAAAAGCACGACCAGTTATTTTAGCCGGGCCGGCTAAAATAACTGGATGGCCTACCTGCCTGTCAGCCTTCCATCTGTGCACAAACTTATCTCGTGGCCTCATTGGTCATGTGCGCGTTCGTGTGTGTTGGAGGAGGGGCTCTGTAAGGAAGTGGCAGATTTTTTCCGGCTGTGTATTTTCAAATTCGAGCGCACTCGAGCTGGTTTCTCCAAAATTACCTACCCCACCTTTAATGGTTCGGAAAGTGGCGCTGTACCTTAATAATATAACAGATTGTATTTGCGTACATTTCTTGTTCGGAAAGTGGCAATGTACTGAGAGTGGAGGTGTCGTGAGAGGGACCTGTCAGCTCCGGACAGCGCAAAATGCATAAATGAAGCGCTACGTCATGAACGCAATAAATCATACCCTCGTGGGGGCGCGCTCATATGATTGGCTTAGAATGGAGGAGACATCTGATTGGCTATAGATAGATAAAATTACAAGTACGAATCGGGTGACCGTCAGGGGAGTCTCAAAAAACCCACACACGAATACACAGCGATCCATGCACAGAAAGCGGTTTGTGTTTGCAGGTGCAGCGGTTTTAAATGGAAAACAATTGTGTGTGGATCAAAAATACATATGTAAAACATTTTTCTGTATTTGGATTTTATTTACATGAAACGGAACACATTTGTGTGTGCATTGAAAAACACAAGTGTGGAACCGGAAATACAAGTTTGAATCCTTCTGTGTGCACGTATGTATTGTGAGACTGTTCTGAACCCATAGCATTCAAAGTATCTAAAATGGGCTCAACAGTATATAAACTACAACAAAAAAATGAAATGATCATTAAACCAAATATTCTATGATAACACTTTGAAATGTGCTTTTATGCATAGTGATTCTTTTATACATTTTTCTATACTTGATACTTTTGTGCTTTTACCCAAGTAACATTTTTAATTCAGTTCAACTTTCAATGGAGTATTTTTAGACCATAGTGTTTCTGCGTTGGGAAGGAGAGTAGAGCTGTGTTGTGTTTGGAGGAGGGACTTCATCATTTAAAGAAGTTACAAGTTCCTGGTTAGCCAGTGAAGAAAGACAGTCAGTGGTAAACCATCAGAGTCTCAGCATGAAAGTCTCTCACACTTTGATCTGCTTCTTCTTCCTCTTCTGTGAGTACATCCCTTTATTTTCATGTCAGTAATTTAATCATTTTCCTTTAAAGTATTGAGTTAATGCAAGGCTCCAGCAGTACGAGTTATTCAAATATTTCAAAGTTAGGCTTTTTAGTAGCTTTGCAACCTCTGACCTAAGCTTAAAATGTAATGTTCACTTCCTCAAACAGACTGTAAATTAAACATCATTAAACTTAGTTATTATCTGCTTACTGAATGAGTAAAATGAAGTCATTACGACAGTTTTTTTCTGTGAAATAATTTATATGATTGTTTTCATAGTCATTTAATCTGCAAATAATTTTCTTGATTAATTTATTAATCTTTTGATTTGTATTCATACATGCCGCGAATGTTAATTTGAACTTTTTATTATATTTGTATCTTATTGTATCTTTTAAACATTTATAACTCGTGTACGGCTTGACACTGCTGCTGGAACAAAAATAATTTCCCAATTTATATCTATCTATCGAAGTGTTTTGTCCAAAAATGTCATAAATAAAAAAAGGTGGTGTTGACATTAAATACATTTTAGTTTATGTACTATAAGGATTTGCGTTAATGTAAAGCTTAAAGTTACAGATGGAGACTTCATGTAGTCTTTGTGTCTAAAGAAGGATAAAGATCTCAGACCAAACGGTCACATTAACCTGCAGTGCTGATGGTGATCTTCAGTCACAGGCTATGGTTTAACTCTGAGGATCTGTGTTCATGTGAAACAGGAAGTGTTGTGATCAGACTGCAGCATCTTACAGGAAGTACTGATCAATACTAATGATGGCTCAACTTTTGTTCATCTTTTGTTCAGCTCTGCAGGATGGAAACACCGGTCTCGTCAGTGCCCAACTCTCTGTCTATTCAGTAATTGAAGGAGAAGATGTCAGAGTTGAATGCCCCTTTCCTTCTTATAGAATCAGGAAGTTCTTCTGTAAGGAACCATGTAGACGAAAAGACATTCTCATTGAAACAACTGATGCCCCAGCTCAGAGAGGCAGATACAGCATTGATTATGAAAATAGAGATTATTTTGTGACCATCACTCAGCTGACCAAGTCTGACTCCAGACGCTACAGGTGTGGTGTGGGACTATATCTGTCAACGGCTTCATACGAATATATTGAAATCATCGTTGTTGATGGTGAGTTTCTACTACAATGAAATCTTCTTCCTTGTCTTAATAATAGTTTTACATTTTCACCATTAACTCATCTTAATCCTACATGTCTTCTGAAGGTAACTCATAAACCGAAACTGACACGCGTACACAAGTGTATTTTAATATTATTGTATGGAACATTATTGATGAAGAATTTAATACCGGGGGCACGAGCATATTGATCTGTTGTCTCTGTTCTTATCTGAATGAAGTAGATCCTATACGGCCGCTCTGTGTTCTGTTGAAAACTAAGACAATTAGTAATAGATTGAGATCAATAGACAATATTAACAACTGAACTGGTGGTTTGTGACTGCGGTCGGGGCTTTAAAGGAATACTTTACCCCCCAAATAAAAAAATGTAGAGTATCTTGAATTTTCTAGCATGACTCCACGGTGAACATGGAATCCCAAAATGGAGAAAAGTCTTAATGAATGTTAAATGAATTGGGGGCCGTGTTTTACAACAGCAGAAATATATTATAACATCCGTTAACTAACTCTAACACAACTAATGCTGTATAATCCAAATGTCATTCACTGTATACTCAGCACAAAAATAATGATTTGCTAAATCTCCTTGGACATTTTTTTAGTTAAAAAAACTTTTCATTAAATCGTCACACCTCATCCCTCAGTGACTGGATCACGTTTGAAAAAACACAAAGTTCTAAATATTGAAACTACGATTTGTAAACTACACATAGTAACTATTGATTGTTTTGGTTTTTTCAACAGCAATGCTTGTTGGTGCAGAAAAAACAATCGATGCTAGAACTGGAGGAAATATTGTAGTTGAATGCTACTTTACTGAATATGGAAACAAGAAGTACTTCTGCAAGGAAGAATGTGAAGGAGAAGACAATCTTGTTGAAATAACTGGTTACATATTTAGTAAAGACAAATACAGCATTGAATATGTTGAAGGAACTCCAACAGGAGGATCTGTGTATGTGAGCATCAAACAGCTGACCCAGTCTGACTCAGGATGGTACAGGTGTGGTCTGGGCAGAACTTACTCTGATGATCCATACCAGAGGTTTATGCTCATCGTCACTGATGGTGAGTTTCTGCTTGATAATGAAAATGTTTGTTCATGTCTCTAAAGACAGTTTTCACTGACAGCTGCTGATGTTTTCAACTCTCAATTTAGTTCAGCTGACACACACAGAAACTCGGGAGGATCTAATTTCTCTCATCAGGACTTCTTGCTTGTTTTTGTTCACAGCTCTGACCACTTCTACACCTTCATCATCCATCCCATCAGCCTCTACAGAAACATCAAACCAAAGTGAAAGCTCCACATCTTCACCAGCCTCCCCTAAAACCACAGAACAACCTGAATCAACAACAACTACAGGTAAATCCACACACTGTGTTTACTAGATAACGTTTCAACAACTTATGAAACATAAGGAGCATGAGAACGGCCATCACATTCTTCCATCATAATGTTCTATGCTTTTTCTACAATCACAATATGTACATTTCTGTTGGCATCGAGTACACAAATTACAAATCAGATTTTAAAATGCTTCACCTTAAATCATATTCCCAGCTTTTAAAACATGTACTCTATTTCTACAGTAGGTATATGGCAAATACTGTTGACCTGTTGTCTTCCCCTAAACATAAGCTAATAACCAAATGGATTATGGGGATTCTTAGTGTTAGATGTTATAGTTTACTAGTAACTGTAACTGTACCACAGATGTGATCCTGTATGTGTCTCTGACTCTGGTCGTCCTGGTCATCGTGTCATCACTGTCTGTGCTGGTATTCTGCAGGAAGAGGACTTGTAAAGCCAAAAGTGAGGAACCAGGTAACACACACACTCACACACACACACACACACACACACACACACACACACACACACACACACACACACACTCACACAGAAAGCTGTTGACTTGTGTTTCATATTATCAGCTATTTGAATATAAGCATCAGACTGTGTGTGTGTGTGTGTGTGTGTGTGTGTGTGTGTGTGTGTGTGTGTGTGTGTGTGTGTGTTTGCGGGAAGCTGTGATATAGATTTCAATGTGTTGTATTGTATAATGGTGTAGTTGCATAGATGCTACTAGACTATATGTTCTATGTTCGTGATGTTGCGACTTACAAAGCATAAATCTAGCACCTGTTTCCTCTGCAACAACTGAAGGATTATCGCTCTGCCAGTTCCAGTTATAACAACACCTTTGGTCAATTATAAAAACACACATAAAAAAATAGAGGTAGCTAAGAGGATGGCTTCCTCTATTTTGGAGTGAAGTCAGCTCATAGGCTTTTCCATTTTTTAGGTAATTTAAATTTGACAGGTTGCTAAATGACAAAATATGTTCTGTTGTTTACAAACTCAAAACACATCTATTTATCTTGTTGTTTAAGGGTTGGCCCAAATATTGGTTCAAATGGGGAATGTGTTATATCATGTGTGAAAATCTGTGAGAGTATTTTTCTCAAAGTACTGTTGTGTTTTTCAGAACCTCATGTGGAAACACAAAATGCTTCTGCACCAGACGTGAGTTTGAGAGAAGTTATACAATTTAAACGTTTGGATCACAACACATTAGCTCGGTAGGGCTACATTTCTTGCACCTGTTGCTGCTTCCTATCCATATTTACTGAAATGCCGGATTTGGCTTTGATTCATGTTGCTTGTTTTGTTCTGTTTTTAAAGACAAATTTAATCAAGCAATGTTTTTTCCTCCAGGCTGAAGACGACCCGAGTCAACTCGCCTACTCTGAGATCAAATTTGTCAATGTGGGCTCGTCCCAAAGCGGTTTCCACGGTGACGCTGAGTGTGTTATCTACTCTGTTCCTCGGGTGGAAGCTAGCTCTGATGAGCCCCCTCTGTACTCTACTGTTAACAACCCCCAATAACTCTCACAGTCTGGCAGAAGAAGCTGGTGTGAATTAAGCAGCCGTGTAAATAAAAGCCTCAGCTAAATGATATTTAATGTAAAAAGCTCTTTTACAGCTTCAATGTATTTATTAAGTTGATTTTATTACAAGTTATATGCTATTAAAGTTATTTCTATAAAATAAACTGTTCTAGTAAAGTTAGCAGATTAGCATTAGGTATTTTTGCTTCAAATTACAGTTGACTATTTTGGTTAAAGACTTGATTTACAGAAATGTTTAATTATAGCGGAATATAAATAAATGGATATGAAACTATATTACTTCAACCAGGTGATGTGGTCAGTACGGGATACAAAATGACTCACACTTATGTATAAACGTTATGACTTGTTTGTAATGTTTTAAACTGTACATATATATTTGGATTTGTACAATTTTTATTGAGTTTTATTTTTTATATTTTATTTCATATTCGACCTCTTCCTGCTCTGTAAAACAAAGTACACTTTTCCACAGACTTAACATTGAATAATGTAAATGTTAAAAGCAAAATATATTATTTTGCTGCATTAAGTTGCAAAGTTTTAAAGTGAAACCATACGTGATACACATGCAGGTGTTAGAGAGGAGATTAAAGCTGTGAGTGTTTTATTTTAAGCAGGGAGTCCATTGTTTAGAAGTGAAAACATGTTGGTTTGCCGGTGAAGAAGAAAGAGAGGCAGCGTTCAACCATCAGAGACTCGAACATGGACGTCTGCCACAGTTTGATCTTCTTCGTTCTCAGTGATACACTTTGTATTTCTGTCACCATGCTCTCTTAGATTTAAAACTGTAGGGTTCATTAACTTGCTTTTTCTGGAGATTTCAACATCGTATAACAATCTTATGGTTTGTTCAGTTGTCATGGAGAAGTGCAATGTTTCAGTTTTTCATAATTGAAAATAAGTTTTAAATAATGTTGCATTGACTTAAAACATTTTACTTTTTACCAATGTTTTTTTGAGACAGAATAATCCAATTTAAACCTGTAAAAGCTTCTAGTTTGACTGAATTTATGAACAGTTCATTCAACTCTGTTCTACTTAATATACGTACACTAAACAGTGTCCATATCACAGAGTGAACATCATTTTGCGTCTAATGTATGTGTCTTTGTTTTTATTTTATCTGCACAAGTTTAATGTAACATGCAGTTCTGCCATTGAACACAAGATGGAGCAATCACTTGAGAGAATGTAATCACTGGGTGATCAGATTCAGGTGTGTGGGACGGTAGCAAACAGTTTTTGACCGTGTCTGGAGAAGCCGTGTCGAGTTGAGCTGTGTTAACCCTTGTGTTGTGTTCGAAAGCTTGTACCGTTCATGGTGTTCGCGGGTCAATTTTAACCCATGATTTATTTCAGTCCAAAACACTCAAAAATAATGACTATCATCCAATATTGTTTTAACTACATCATAACTAACTTATAATGCATTCATAACCATACAATCCTGTTGTAATTGTATTGTATGACCCCAAAACACATTACACCACATATTGCACATGTGCATGTGTGTGTTCAGGTAAAACAGTAGCTTTAGGCGGCATCCTTTAAAAAATGTCCACAAGCTTTATCCCCGGTCACAGACCCAAACAATAATGCTAGTGGGGGAACGTTTTTTTACATCTCTTGCTTTTTTATCCATAACAACTTTTGTTAAAGGTGGGGTAGGTAATTTTGGAGAAACCAGCTCGAGTGAGCTAGAATTTGAAAATACACAGCCGGAAAAAATCTGCCACTTCCTTACAGAGCCCCTCCTCCAACACACACGAACGTGCACATGACCAATGAGGGCACGAGATAAGTTTGTGCACAGATGGAAGGCTGACAGGCAGGTGGGCCATCCAGTTATTTTAGCCGAGCCGGCTAAAATGATTGGTTGTGCTTTTTACAGTACTACGTCTTCCACAGATGACATTTTTTTATGGATTTTTTGTCAAAGCACTTAAGATATTCATTGCTATCGGGATGTTAAGAGCATTCCATGGAATATAACAACAAGTGTATCTCGAGCCGGTTTCTCAAACTTACCTTTAAATGTAAAAACAGATATCAGATAAGTGTAAATATGACAAATGGCCCAACCAAAGGAAAAGGGATTAAGTGGTTTTTGTTTGTTGTCAATATTTACACTTTATTCTATATTGGTAGTGTTCCGACTCTGATCTGCAGCTATGACACAACAATTCTCCTGGGTATCAATAAAGTTTTATCTTATCCAAAGTTTTTGGGAAAGGGTGTAAAGAATGTATTTTTGGCTTGCAGTTCACCACGGTTTGATCTTCTTGGTTTTTTAGTGAGTATACTTTGTATTTCTGTCATTTTCTATATAACGTAATTTCCCTTTTTATATTTACAGCCAGGGACGTGCACAGTATGCCCTTTTTGACTGACCTGCCCCTCTGGAGAGAGCGAGAGTTTTTTGTTTTTTTTCTGTTGTGGCCGAATAAACATGATAAGCCCACAATTAGTATTGTAGCGTGTTGCTGCGGGAAACACACCTTGTCCGCGATGTCATCTGCCCCCAGTCAGGGCTGCGCTTTGTCACCAATCCTGTTTGTAATATACATGGATAGGATTTCGAGGCATAGTCGTGGGGGAGGGGGTCTGCAGTTCGGTGGACTAAGGATTGCACCACTGCTTTTTGCAGATGATGTGTTTCTCAAACTTACCTACCCTACCTTTAATAAGTGTTTTATAATGACTAATAAAGAGCCAATATACTGCTAATATGCATGTTCATTAACAACTAGTTGATGGTTAAAACTTTATTTTAAATAGTTTGAGCAATACATAATATACAAAAGTTAATTTAATAATACACAAAACACACAATGCATAAATATATACATAACATACACAGAGGGTGTACCAGCTTCACCAGCAAGACCATGCTGGTAGACCAGCAAGACCAGCTTGGGAAAGTTGGAACACCGGCAAGACCAGCATGGGTAAGCATATTTGAATAAAAACGTAGGTTGCGGTCGAATAGTCCAAAAATCAGCTCCTAAGTTCTAACCCTATCGTCTATTCCTTGACCTCTGAGTGAAACGTCATGGGGTTAAGGGATAGTGGATAGGAGAATTCAAAGGACTTAGGAGAAGAGACTGCGGTACTTTAGAGAATCCGACTGCACTTTCACTATCCAACGTGTTTATGATGCGCCAGCGGAGGTCATAAATGTGCGTCTGCTGTTGTGGGGAAACTATGGAAACTACAGTTTTCTATACAGCGGACTACAACAGGGATGTTTAATAAGAACGAGGGACTACTGTAAACTCATCTAGAGACTCTGCACCGTGCTCTGATGCTGTTGTTTTATGCTTTATGAACGTGGACAGCAGAGAAACATATTCTTCATGACCAAAGTTGGAATTGAAATAAAAAAGGAAAGTGAAACTTATGCTCGTCACCCTCTCCCTCCGGTCCACATTAATACAAATGATCCCAATACGTATGACTGTATGAAAAGATCTTAAAATCAATACAAATGTATTTATTATAAACGTTAGTCCTTAACATCTATCACTGTGTATATCACCATTCAAACATCTTTTAAAAGTTGAACAAACCCCACACAGCTCAGTAAAGACTGTGAAATGTTGACTTTATTTGATCATTTCAGTAAAAACTAACGTTCATATTTCTCTTTTTGATTATAATACTGATGAACGTTCAAAACAAAGCACTTTGGCAACTTACCACATACGTTTTAAAATGCTTAAGCACCGTAACTTTCATGATATCATTTCTCGTTCATAATCGGTTGTTTCCGTGAACGGCCGACTGTTGTGTGACGGCAAATGCGGCGGCCGCAAGGCATTGTGGGGCAGCATTTTCTCCTCTCCTTTAGGTTAGGGAGGTCCAGTGGTTCCTAAGCTAAAGGAGGTTATAAAGGAAGTTTGAAACCTCCTTTCCTTTAATTTAGAGAATTTGAACGGCACTTATCATGGCTGCCACTGAGGGACTTCCGGGTCATTTCACTCCGTTAGGAAGGTTCCTAAGCTAAATGGAGGCCCAATCCCAAACTACTCCCTCGACCCTACCCCTCCGTGGCGGAGTGAACTCCGTCTGTAGCCACATTCGCAGCTCAACGAGGCTCCCTCCTGTCAGATGGAGGGGGTAAATACAGCGGCAAGCTTTGGGACAAACTCCCCTCTCTCCTGCAGAAACAGGAAATGCCGTAACTGTATGTAACAACGGTGTCAAATCAGCATCTCTTAGACAAAAAATGTAAATTAATAGCTCAAATAAAACTCCGAACATCTTTCATTGTGTTACTTTTTTGTAAAGCTCTTTTAGTTTTAAACCTGATGTTTATAAGCTTCTTAGTTTTTGCAACAGTCTGTAAATATACACAACTTTATAATAAAATGCACACATTTACCTTTTTCTAGACTAAACACAGGTATGATCCTAAGTTAAAAAAATATGAGGTTATCATGAGGTTGTTCACATCGCAGTTTATCAGTGGATGTTTGCTGGAACTACTTGTAAACAGCGTGTTTCCTGACGGACACACACAGCGTGACTCCCGTCAGGTAGAGACCGGTCTCAAGTCAGCACCGATGCAGACTCGCTGTTTGAGGGCTTGATAGCCCACTCCCCCTCCACACCGCTCCACACTCGTTGGTTTGGAACAGCACTTAATGTGGCGGACCCTCCGCGCGAACGCGCAAACGGAGGGGTAGTGTGTAGGGATAGGGTGTAGGGGGCGGTTTGGGATTGGGCCGGACTATTCGACCGCAACCAAAGTCATGTTGTATATGACATCATCAGAGCGTGCCTGAGTGTGAAAGAAACGTGGTGATGCTAATGAGCATGCGCAGATACAAATAAACGGTCAGTTCTCCAGGCCAAACTCAGTGTGATGTGGTCGTGTGTTTTTTCTGTTATGTTTGGAGTTTTATTTTAGTTATTAATTTTTATTTTTTGTCTAAGAGATGCTGATTTGAAACCGTTGTTACATACAGTTACGCATGGGCGTCGCAGTCATTATATGAGGGTGGGACAAGTCCCCCCCACTTTTTCAAATGATTAGTTTAGACCCCCCCACTTTTACTATGCGGAAAGTCTGTGAATCGGTCTATCCACTCGCCGCACTTTGTAGAGCGCTGTGTCAGTGCTTCACTATCAAATGAAATCCATTCAACTTGCTTATTGAGAGAATGCCCAAATCAATGAAACTCCGTACCATGTTTTCACTGCTACTTTGTACCAAGGCAGATTCTCACATAGCGCGCGCATGTTCAAGGAGTGTTGTCATAGTTGGACAGCTCACATCTGTTGTATGAAGCGATGCCGGTAGC